ACTTCACTCGTTGCAGTGTCACTAGCACTATATGTGGCCTGTCCCACGGGTACGGAGACTAATGGGCAGGGAAGGCGGGGGTGTGCTTTACCATGTGCTGAGGTGTGAGGGGACAGCACTTTTCAACCCTCCCCTGTACTTTTTTGGAAGTAGTCATTTCTAGTTTCTCATAGGTGTTTCTGATTTATTCAGGAGCGGCTATGAGTCTGCTTCCAAGAACTTCAATCCAGACGATGTGGAGGTGAACGTGGCTGGACGATCCTTTTTGGTCACCGGCGCAAACAGTGGCATTGGCAAGGCCACGGCCAAAGAGGTAGCGAGGAGAGGTGAGCCGGGCTGTGGTGAGGAGCTCGGAGGGGTCAGCATAGAGAAGATGGAAGGAAGCAGGTTTGGCCTTCCAGCACAAACACAAGGATGCAGCTCCCTGGGATGAGGGGTCAGGTGTGCTGTTTTACAGGGCTGCTACTGTGGGTGAGAGGTTTAAGCATGATCAATGCTGTGAAAACAGGAATAATAAACAAAAGTAGTGGAGAGGATCTGTAAAGTGTTTCTGAAGCGCATGTTTACCAAAGCTATCTGTGTTATAGAGGCATCTAAGGATGTTGGTGATGGATCAAGGTCTGCTTAAGGCAGATTTGGTACAAGTAGCAACCTGGATGAATTTGAATTGTTTTGGAGAACTTACAAATGTATCATATGATGAAAGAAAACAGTTGGATTTGCTAAGCTGAGATGAGAGAGTATAAAAGAAGCAGCGTAGTTGTGCTTGATCTTAATGATAATAACCTGGAGTTTGTGTCCTTTAACTGATTATGTGCAACCATTTTTTCACTTGCCCCCTGTAAGAAAGGAGATGGTATGAACTAGAACTAGCTACTGTTGAAGGATAAACCTAATCCCTTTCAGACTTGACAGAATAATTCCTGTTGTGCAAGAGTGATTGGAGCTTTGGCATGTAGAATAAAAGGGAGGAGCTTGTGGCTCTTTGCTCTCTCTTTGCCTGCTTAGGTTTCATAACTAGCTTATGAAGGAAAGTGGTGATTTGGTTAAATCAAACTAATTAAAAATTATTAGCATCAAAGAGCCTTTGGGTTAAAGATCCCCATCAGTGCCAGTGTGTGATTGATTTTAGGTTCCTACTACTGCCATTATGTGTAATAGCCTTATGTAAGTATTGCTTTGTCTGGTGACTGTTTTGCTCACAAATGGATATACCTGCCAGGTTTTGCAAGCTGTCAAGCTGACTGGATCTGCATAGGATTTGGTCACCATGTCTAGTATTTGGAGCCTAAAGAACAACTGCGGGCTCAGACTGCTTGTCTGATATCTTGCGTAGGTGTTGCTGTGCATATGAAGTTAAAATGAATTAATGGTGTCTTCCTGATCCTATACTTGCATGTGTCGCTCTGAAACTCAGTGTCAGCTGTTGGGGCTCTGGCTTCGAATTGAATCTCTTCAAGTATACCATGACAAGAAAATAAGGAATTTTGACTCAGCAAAAGAATAACCAAGCTACGTTGGTTTTACCCTCAAGCACTTCAGATCTTTGTAAATAATTATGGTCTTGACAGTTTCTTTAGCCTGAGTTCAGTGCTAGTGAATTGCTGTCTTATGGGTATTGCAGATTTGGGCTTTCCTGTATGTCTTGTGAACAGCACTTCCAGGTTGATGTAGTCTTCTCCCAACCACTCTGACAATTTCCACATGTTGCTTAAGTTCAAATAATTTGAATCTTTACGGTGGAAGATATATTTAAATCCCTTTCTTTATCCCATAGGTCACACCAAAACTTCCCTCTCTCCTTAACAGTAAGAAAAAAAAAATCACATTCAAAGCCCTTAAAACCCATCTCTGTTTTCAATGAATGTTTTCCACTGTAGACTATGAGTATATTCCTGATGATCTTGAAGGCCAGCTACTTCTTCCATGTGTTTAATTTGTACCTGCACACCTTACTTGTGCTTTCCCCTGTGTTTTGGGAAGAGGTCCTTAAACATCTGCAAATGCACATCCTTAACTGCCTTAAGATCTGTAGTTTAAGTCTTAATTTGCAGTGAAGCCTGCAGTCACTGTGAGAATCACCAATGGGGTGAGCATTGGACACTGCCCCTTTTGCCTTTTCTCTCACTCATGAAATCTGCTCTCCCAGGGGCAAAGACTGTCTTTCATTCTGATCTGCACATATTCAGTGCCTGTACGTGCACGGTCACTTCCATGCATGGTATATGTGTAACACAAACTGAATATTAAACTGTATTAAACATCGGTTAGTGTCATTTGTATGATTATTCCAGATGCAGGAGTTTACCACTGCTTCCTGCAGTTGTGCACTTGGTCAAAGTAACCCAGACAACTCTGGCAGTGCAGTGGAGGAATCAAACCCTGTTAGGAAATATCAGAAGAACCCTGAGGTTTGTTGCCTGCATCAGCTGCATGCCAAGTATACTTGCTGTAGTAGTGCTCAGTGGAAAAACCTCTCTCATAAATGGAAAATTTCATTGTCAGACCCCACACTGGGCTGTGCAGTGTGTGACTGCTCTATTGCTAGGGTAAACTTGGTGTCTTGCATTTGGGTTCTGGGCACTAGAAGAGTGACCTGGCACTGTTGTTTCTATTATCAATCCTTTGGGATTACATTGCTTGAGCCTTCTAGTGGTGGACTGCTAGCAACCCCTAAAACAGCTTTAACAATAGGTAAAAGTAAAGAGTGCCGGTACTCCTGTGACTGAGATTAACACGTTGCTTGTAATGATCAGAGAATACAAAGCATAAAAATAAAAAGAATTATGCCTACCCATACTTTAGTCCTCTTTTTGAAGGCTCTCTTTAATGTGGCTAAGTTGTGAGGTCATTATAAGTATCCAGGCCTTGGAGAGGAGCCTTGCCCTGCATATTCCTTTCATAGAAAAGTTGTTTGGAAGGGACCTCTAGAAGTCATCTTGTCCACCATCCCACTTGAAGCAAGACTGTTGCCAACACTGGATCAAACTGGCCATTGCTTTGTCTTGCTGGATCTTGAAACCTGCAAGGATGGAAATCATGCATCCTCTTGGGACAATGTGATGATCTATTTAGAAGAAAACTAGTGAAAACCTTTTCTCAATGCTTGACCTGAGCCTCCTAAACTGCAATTTGTGGCCATGGTCCTTGTCATATCTCCCACTGCTGAGAATAGTTCTGGTATCTGTCATTTTTATTTCCTTTCCACAGAGAAGTTCCAGTCACTTGTGTTGTTCAAGCCCTTTACTGAGCTTTCTAAGGCAGGTGCCAGAAGAAGCATTTATGCTTCAGATGCCTTAGCTTCAATTTGCCGTGTAGCCCTAGTATTTTATCAACACTAAACATGATGTGCAAAGTTGACAGAAAATGGTTTGAGCAGACAGTACCTAGACTGTAGTGGCCTTCTCCACACACAGAACCTTGCTTAGGGACCTTATTACAGCATGATATTTTCTCCCTCCTGCCTGCCTTCATAGAGACCAGAGCCAAGCAGAAATCTTCGAGCTTTCTTATTATATATCTGCTCTTTGTGTCCTAAAACTTTTGTCTGAAGGACCTTTACCTCAGTCTTTTGACAGGCCCTGTTTGGATTCTTGGTGTGTCTGGTCTTTTTGATGGTACTGGTGGGTCAGTGCCTTTTGGGGGGAATTTGTCCCTCAAAATGGCCCAAGGCTGATGGACATGGGACTGCTATGAGGTGCTGTGGCCCTAAGGAGCTCCCTGCTCTCAGCTCATCAGCAAGTGTCACAGGAGCCCTGAGAGCTCCACAGACCTGAGCTTCAGCAGCATTGATGAAAAGCCACAGCTAACCTCTTGGCAGCAGGGAAGTGAGAGTGTTTGCTGTGCACAGCTCAGGAACATTCTGCCTGCTGGGAAGCTCCTGTGATATTTTGGTGGTCATCTGACCAGTATTGCCACTGCTACTAGCAGGCTATAGATTTTCCACAAACTGGAATGCATCACAAAAGGTTTTTTTGTTTCATTTGGGTTGTATCAAAAACTAACCCAAGACAAGAACTGCAAATTGCACATCCAGTTCCTGGCCCTCCCTCTTTGCTGATGCCTCCCCCAAAAAGTAATTATCAAATGTGTTTCTTGTCGAAATCCACCAGGTGGCACAGTTCATCTGGTTTGTCGAAATAAGGAACGGGCTGAGGTAGCCAAAGGAGAAATAGTGACAGAAACGGGCAATCAGGTGAGTTGTTTTTCAGTCCTTTGTTTACTCTTAGGAAGATTCTTGGTATTAAAGACCTTAGAGGCCTTGAGATATTCTGTTTTGTCATTTTTCTGTTGTGTTTTTAATAGTATTTTCCTGCAAACATGGAAACATCTAGTAGTTTATCATCCATATGGTTTGAAGGGATTTAATTTCACTAGGTAATGCTTTCTGTGATTAATAACATCACTAGCAGCATACTGTTTTATTTAATGTTTGTTGTCAATGTGTTTTGTGATGACCTACTTACTATTCCTAACTATGTGGCTGAGGCTTTTAAAAGTTAATGCATTGCAACACTCTTGCAGCAACATTTATGAGTTTACAGCATTGGAGTTGAAAGTTTTATGTGTCTGAATAACATGCTCTTGATTTGCTAAGGTTGGCTGCTCTGTAAAGTCCTGTGTGTGTTCCTAGTTCCATGCTCTACAGACTTTTCCATCTCCTTTTCTTATGATATATCTTCCTTACCACCTCCCTTCTGTTACAGATTCTTTTTGCTTCTGCAATATACCCCTGTAGCTGTCACTGTTGCTTTTGCTAATTATTCAGGAGGGTGTGCTAGTGGAGAAGTACAGTCGTTGTCTTTATCTTGATGTACTGGTTTTGGCTGGGATCGAGTTAATTTTCTTCATAGCAGTTCCTGTGGTACTATGTTCTGGATTTTTGACCAAAACAGTGTTGACAACCCATGTTTTAGCTGTTACTGAACAGTGCTCACACAGCATCAAGGCCTTTTCTGTTTCTTACGCCACCCCACCAGTAAGGAGGCTGGGGCTGTACAAGGAGCTGGGAGGGGACACAGCTGGGACAGCTGACCCCAACTGACCAAAGGGATATTCCATACCATATGACGTCATGATCAGCATATAAAGCTGGGGGAAGAAGGAGGAGGGGGGGACATTCACAGTTGTGGTGTTTGGCTTTCTAAATCACTGTTGCATGTGATGGAGCCCTGCTTTCCTGGGGATTACCAAATGCCTGCCTGACAATGGGAAATAGTGAATGAATTCCTTATTTTACTTTGTTTGCACACACAGCTCTGCTTCACTTATTAAACTGTCTTTATGTCAACCCACAAGTTTTGTCTGTTTTACCCTTCTAGTTCTCTCCTCCATCCCACTGGGAGGGGAGTGAGTTGTTGTGTGGGGCTTAACTGCCTATGGGGGTTAACCCACAGCACTTGGAAGGAAAGCTATCTCCATTTTAAATAGTGGCTTGGGTCTTGAACACAGTATTTTGATTCCACTAATAGTTTTTAATGTGGATCAAAAATCCTGAAGACTTTTTATGGTTAGAGATACCATATTGACTAAATTTCTGCTCTTTGGTTTCAGGTCCCTAGTGTGACACAACCAGCATTACACTTCAGTTCTTTAATGGAGGTGAATTAGATCAATCCTTCTGTAGAAATATATACTTTCCAGCTGTCTATAACTGTGTAATCCCGTGGCTATAGTAAGACTGGTCATTATCTGTGTTACCTCCTTTTCTAACTGTAGTCACACAGCCTGGGAAGAGGGGTGAGTTCAGTGACCTCTGAAGGTTCCTTCATGTTCTATTTCTGTCGTTTGGTGAAACAAAACTTGAGGAAAATTATGTTCTTTCTTTAAAAGCAGCACAATTACTGCATTCCCACTTTTTGGTAGGCTGCAAACCTGTAGTTTCCCTAGTCATGAAAGAGTACGAGGGCACTGCAGAACTTGTTCATGACCCCGGGGGCAGGGCACTTGTAGAGAAAGCAGCATTCAGTAAAGTGTTAGATAAGCTGTACAAGAGGCCCTGTGGGACATGTGACTGCACTGGGAAGAGTCATTTTAATAAGGAGTCCACAAGAACATCCTTCTTTATAAGTGCTCATTCAGAAGCAATCCAGGGAGATAATAAAACACTTTATCTACAATTTGACAAGCTGTATCTGGACTTAACTTGCTCTTCCTGATTGTCTGTGTGGAGATCCTGTTGTAGTATATGCCAAAGATTTTTTCCATCTTCCACAGCAACCCATGTCATGGCTCACTGCTGAAATGGGATTATTATTTGGCAGGCACCTGAACCTAGACCTGGGAACTGTGAAGTTTTCCTCATCTGTTAAAGCAGACCTAGTCACAGAGATTAGCTCTCACTTTGAAAATGACTTTGCTACCATTGAGGTCTTTCATAGGGAACAGGCCTGTGGGTCCTTTTTCTGAGCCAATGTGACAGTCTTCAGCAGAAAAGTGGATTTAGATCTTTTTCAGTCTCTGAAACCACTTGTAATATCTGCCCAAAAAAACTTCAGCTCTTCTGTTCTGGTAGATAATGGTAGTAGCTTTAAAAGTAGAAAGCTTTTAGAGGACTATCCAGTTGGAAACAGTAGAGCAGTGTCAAGTTTTTAGTCAGAAATTAACATGATGATGAGAAAATTCTGACTTAACTCGACTAAGGACATGAAATCTAATGACTAGAGAGAACTAGAGAGAAAAAGTCATGTGTTTTTTATCTTCAGGGAAGCAGAGTTATAGGCAGGGAATAATGCCTGATAATTTTCTCAGTTTCTTCACTTATCTCATTTGCTTGTATAATGAGTATTTAAAGAAACAACTTGGAAAGAAAGGAGGCCCTTTAATGATTATTTGTTGTTTTGCATGAGAACACATCCTCTGCATAATTATTTTAGAACTGCCTTTTCCTGAGGTACATCATAAGACTATCTGTGGTGTGTTTTTGAGACTAAGTGCTATCTAGGAGAAGAGTAGGAGCTGACATGCCTTTTGTACACTGATAAATGCCACTGTGCTTGTAGTAGATAGAACACAAATTTGCAAAAAGCAAGAGAATTGCTTGTAACAAACAGTAAAAGGTTTTTGATGTTTTGGAGAGAGGAAATATTTCTAGCTTTAGTGGTTCAGAAAATTATACCTTTGCTCTCACATCAAGCTTTTCCTTTTTTTTTTTTTTTTTTATTCTATTGCATCCACATCCCTGACCATAGTATTTTAAAATGTTGTGACACGGGGTGGCTAACAGTCACTTAGCCATTCATGCAGCAGTTAGTGTGGAAGGGGGTGCAGAAGGTACCTGCTCTCTGAGGTACCTGGAATGGGCACAGTGATGTACCTGAAAGCATGCTCTCCTGTCCTGGTTGGAGCGACTGTGCCTGGCACATGGGAGGCTGGCCCAGACAGAGCTCCAGAGGAATGATGTGGTAGATGTCATGTTGCAGGGAGTGACTGGTACTTTTTCCTGAGCCTGGGGCAGAGCATTATGGCGACCTCATCTGTTGGGTTTGGTGTGGTCAAGGTGCTGGGCTGCCAGGTTAAGTGACAGCAGGAGATGAGCAGGCTGTATAACTGTGGGGAATAGAAACAGGAGATTGACAGTGTCTTTGAAGGGAGCAGAAGAGCACAAACCCCACATTGTGTGGAAGGAAGGACAGCTAGAAGCTATGCTTGGATAAGTGGTGGACAGACTCCTAACATGGGGAGGAATGGAAGCTTGTGACTGCTGGTAACAGAAGACAGGCTCATTCTCTGCTTGCAGATGTGCATTTATAGGATAGTTACAGTGCCATGGTAACAGATGAGGAAGAACAAGCTCTGTCAGGGGAGGAGTTGGAGACAGCCCTGGGAAGAAGTGGTGGGTGATAATGGCTGAAGGCTCCCTCCTGTGTGGGATGGAGACACCCATCTACAGTCTTGGCTTGATGTCTTGAGAAATTTGTCACTTGCTGGGGACTTAGATCTAGGGTATTACGGAGAGTCTGCTGAGGCTCATCTGGACCTTGAACTAGTACCTCTTGTTGACCAACCACATGGGCATCCCTGACATTGTGAGGGGGTGATCTTGAGTTCATCAAGAGTGCTTACAGAGGGTGAAGGGCATGGGGGCCCAAGTACTGCTCTCCTTAAATCCTTCCAGTGAAACGGAAGAGCTTGAGTAGGAGCGTAGTAAGTATGGGACTGTTGTCGGTGAAAAGTATTGTATGTGCTCATATACATCCATACATTCAAGGCCAGGCTGGATGAGGCTTTGAGCAACCTGGTCTAGTGGGAGGTGTCCCTGCCCATGGCAGGGGGGTTGGAACTAGATGATCTCTAGGGTCCTTTCCAGCTCTAACCATTCTATGAGTCTATGATACACACCCTGCAGGACAGCACCTGAATGTGGAGCTGGTGTCACTTGGCCTTTGTCACTTTTTCTTTGGCCTTTATGACCTCTTTGACCCTCTCTGAGAAATGAGCATTGCTGAGCATTTTATGGAGCAAGAGTATCTTTGCCAATAGGCTTGCTGAGCTAGTGAGGAGGGCTTTAAACTGGTTTCATTGGGGGATAGTGACCAAACCCGTAAGAGTAGTGGAGTCATGGGAACAGTATGAGTCTAGGGGACAGCAAAATGGAGGAGGCTCTCACCATTTTCATATGAAAGCAACATGACTGGGAGCCCATCTCAGATGCCTGTACATGAATACACATAGCATAGGAAACACAGGAATCCATGCATTGTTGCAGAGCTGTGATCTTACTGGGATTAGAGAGACATGGTTGGCATGACTAGAGTGCTGGAATGGATGGAAGAGGCCCTTTTATAAGGGCGAGTTGGGAAGACAAGGAGGAGTTGTGCACTATGCAAAGGAGTGGCTTGAATGCATGGAGCTTTGCTTTGAAATGGGCAATGAGCCATCTGAGAGCTTATGGGTAAGGCACAAAGGTCAGATCAATGTGGATGATGTCATGGTGGGTGTCTGCTACAAACTGCCTGATGAAGTAGAGGAAATAGATGGAGCCTTTTTTAGAGGGCTAGGGAAGCCCTGTGATCACAGGTCCTGGTACTCATGGAGTGCTTGAACCAGCCTGATACCTGCTGGCAACATGACAGGGCATAAACAATCCAGGAGATTTCTGGAGAGCATCAAGGACAATTTTCTGATATGAGTATTGGACAGGCCAGCTAGGGGTGATCTCTGCTGGACTTGCTATAAATAGCAGTCTTGAATGGCTGCATTGGTGGAAGTGGCCATGAGACTGTGGAATTTAAGATCGAGACAGGCAAGAAGGATGAGTAGTAGAGTTACAGTCTTTGGTTTTAGGAAAGCAGATTTTGTCTTTTTTATGGACCAGGTTGGCAGGATCCCATGGGAGACAGCCATGGAGAGCAAAAGGCCTTGGTAAAGCTAGTTGTTCTTCAAGGGAAACCTCCTCGAAGTGGGAGGTGCTTCCTGTTAACTATAAAAAACCAAACCACTCATCTTCAAAAAATATTTGAAGGATATGGGGAACTACAGGCTGGGCAGCCCCACCTTGCTCCACAGGAAAATTATGGAGCAAATCCTTGTGGAAGCCATGAAAGACAGGAAAGTAACTGAGAAAAAACAGTGTGGATTTATGAAGGGCAAGCCTGACCTGACCGTCCTGTTCGCTGCCTTTGGTGAGATGACTCTGCCTATGGACAAGAAGAGCAGTGCTTTCTGCTTTCCTTATTTTTGCCAAGGCTTTTTACATGGTCTGCCATAGTATCCTTGTAACCAGTTTGGGGAAATGTGGTTTGAACTGGTGGATGACAAGCCAGGTGGAAAACTGTCTGGAACATTTGTCTCAGAAAGTAGCAATCAACAGTATAAAGCTGATCTGTTAACTATTTTGTAGTGGCATCCCCCATGAGTCAACACAGGGGCAAAACCTGTTTAATGCCTCTTTTAACAACTTGGACGATGGAGTGAAGTGCAGTCTTTGTCAGATTGCAGGTGATCACAAATGGAAGTGGGGAAGCTGGAGAGCAGGGCTGCTCTTCAGAGGGATTTAACAGGTGAGGAGGTGGGCAGACATGAACCTCATGAAGTTCACCAAGAGCAGATACACAATCTGGCCCTGGGATGGAGTAACCCCATGGAGCAGTGCCAGCTGTGACTATCTGACTGGAAAGCAGCTTTGCAGAAAAGGACCTGGGGGTGACAAGTTGCCCCTGAGCGAGCAGTGTGCCCTAGGGGAAGGAAGGCCAACCACACTGCAGGCTGTATGGACATGAGTGTAGCCAGCAGGCTGAGGGAAGTGCATCTTCCTCTCTATTAAACCCCAGCAGGAGTCTTGTGCCCAGTTTTGGGCTCTCCAGAATGAGGAAGTTGTCAGTGTCCTGGAGTGAGTCCAGATGAGAGCAGCCAAGGTAACTAGAGAGGTGGGACACGTGATGTGCAAGGAGAGGCTGCGAGAGCTGGTTTTGCTCAGTGTTGAGAAGGCTGAGATGGGTCTACCATCATGTGATGGGAGGATGTAGGGAGTGCCATGCTTCTCTTGGAGATCTGTGGTGAGAGGACAGGAGGCAGCAGACACAGATTGTAACAGAGAAAAATTATGACTAGATAGTAGGAATTTTTATTTTTTTTTTTTTCACTATGAGGATGGTCAAACACTGGAGCAGGGTGCTGAGAGAGCCGGTGAATCTCCATCTTTGTAAATAAAATTTCCCTGGGCAACTTGGTCTCAGTTACCTGCCTTGAGACAGCAATGGGACCAGGTGGCCTCCAGAGGTCCCTCCCAGCCTAAGTTTTTCTCTAATGCTATGACCTTCAGCATAGCTTTGTAAAGTTGCTTTTAGCTAAAGAGGAAGGTGCTGTATTAATTTTTTTAAAAGAAGTTTTGCAAGCTTTGCAATATTTTTCTAGTTCTCTGCTATGCCTGACTGTCTGTCACATATATTTATCTAAGTAGAACTCTCTTTTAATAAATTAGGCTCTTTTAAAAGCTCTTTTAAAAAGCTGTGGCTCAGAAGCAAATGAATCAAGTGATTAAGCATGTTTTAGAGACTAGAATTAGATTTCCCAGTTGTGCATGTTAACCAAAGTGTTTCAGTTGTCCTCTGAAGAGAATATTTTTTCATACTGCTTAAATACCTTTTCACCTGGACAGGCCTTAACAGTGAACAGTGTCTCTTCACTGTCCCTGTTGACTGTGACTTACTTTTTTTTTCCCTTTTAGAATATCTTCTTGCATATTGTGGATATGTCTAATCCCACTGAAATCTGGAAGTTTTCTGAAAAATTCAAAAATGAACATAAATTAAATGTGTTGGTAAGTTTGCATACTTAAGTCATGTGTCTGTCTTTGGAGTGTGTAGCCTACAAATTTGTCCAACAGGTAGTGTAGATTTCACAATTTTGTCCACAATTCTCTGCTTAATTTTCTCTAAATGTTTTTGCAGTAGTCTCCATGGTCTGTTTGCTCTTGTCCATTCTTGGTTCACATACAGAGATATGCTACAAAAAAGAGAGAAAAGAAGTAATTTTTGAGGTTCTTACCGCACATTTTCTGTTTGACTTTCATTACTAATAACTTTGTCCCCCTTAAGGATCATCAAGATTAATCCATCTTAAAGATTAAACTTTTATAGAAAGTCATAGCTCATAGAATCATGGAATGGCCTGGGTTGAAAAGGACCATCTAGTTTCAACCCCCCTGCTGTGGGCAGGGTTGCCAGCCACTAGAGCAGGCTGCCCAGGGCCCCATCCAGCCTGGCCTTGAATGCCTCCAGGGGTGGGGCATCCACACCTTCTCTGGGCAACCTGTTCCAGTGCCTCACCACCCTCTGAATGAAAAATTTCTGCCTAATATCCAACCTAAATCTCCCCTCTCTTCGTTTAAAACCATTCCCCCTTGTCCTGTCACTATCAACCCCTGTAAACTGTCGCTCCCCCTCCTGTTTATAGGCTCCCTTCTACTACTGGAAGGCTGCAACGAGGTAAAAATTTACTCTGGGGGCTGTACTAATACTGAGGCACCTGGAGCAGTTGTGGTGCGTACTAGGGAGGAAATCCTGATAGAAATCGGACAATAGCTTTTGAGGAGTGGCAGTGAATGAACAAGAAGGTATGTAGGGGAAGACCTCTTTTCAAGGTGGGAAAGAAAAGCTTGAGCTTCTTCTGGAAGGTGAGGCAGAGAAAGAAGTGTCTGAGAATATGCTAGCTGCACACAGCTTGCAAGTTTATGATTGTTCATGAGGTTTTACCTTCCAGTGCATCCATGCTGTGTGGTGGAGCCCTGTTTTAGCAATGCGTGAGTCAGGTGGAGTATCTGTGCAGGTTTGCCAGGCAGAGAGAAAAGCTGGAGTCCCTACAACCAGGGCACAAATTCAGTATGAAGCACCTCTGCTGGTTAGCTCTGCCCTTCTGAGGGCTGACTAGGATGCTGATCTGGCTAATCTGCCAAGTTTGGAGCTGATTCTTTTAGTTTGCTGGGGATGGGAGTTCCCACAGGCCATTCCACCACATGTTGCACAGCTTCCCATAGTGAATTTTCCCCTAATGGTGTGGATGACATCAGCGTGGGTCAGTGTGGTCTCTCAGATGAGATTAACAGACTATACTTCATACTTATGTTCTGTTATCTGCTTTACAACTTGCATATTCCTTTCTGTGAGAAAAGAGTGTAAAAACATGGAGTAAGGCACTGAGAGGACTGTTGACTCTTAGTGTAATACCTCTGTGGTGAGCCATTTCTCTGCAGATCCTTTCTTTTGTGAAATCCCTGTATTATCAGTGACAGAGTAGTGTGACTTGGAACAGCATGGTTTATTGAAACAGTGTGTAGCTTTGTGTTGCAGTGTCAGGAAACAGCAAACTAACATGGACTGCTTGTGTATGTCCTTGTCTTTGTAGATATTTGTGTGGATTATTTTTGTTTACAGGACTTGTCTTACAGATAAACAATGCAGGATGTATGGTGAATAACAGAGAATTAACTGAAGATGGACTTGAAAAAAACTTTGCAACAAATACTTTGGGTGAGTTTGAAGGCTTAATTCTGAAATATACTTGTTTTGGTTACAGAATTGGTTACACAGCAGCTGGGTTCATGAAGTACCTACTCCTGCTCAAAGAGGGATCATACCATTGCTATGCCAGGGAAGGAGCAGGAAAGGAAAAGAAGAAATATTACAGCTTGTTTGGAGTGTCATTTTTAATTTATCTATTTTTCAGTTTTTCTCATATCAGTGCCTTTATTTATCATAGCAGCAGTGGACAAATGCAGTTAAGATTTAATTAAAATTATTCTGAAATTTGGTAGGAAACTTTGTTCCAAGCAGTGCTGATAATGATACTCTTTTTGTAATAAATGTGCTTCTGTGGCTTGGATAGAGCTTGGAGCATGTTCAGATATTTAAAAGGACATTCAAATGTTTCAGTAGGCTTGAACAGCCCTATTTGATGTGACAGAGGCACTGTGTAGGACGACTGTGCCTTATATAGTGGCCTGGACACTCTTGACCTGATGCAACATCTAGTCAAGTGATTGAGCAGTACTGGCTAAGTCTTAGGCACTCCACATATTAGGGGTGTATCCCATGAACTGTGCAGTGGAAGTATAAGAGGAACAAATTAAGGGAAGCA